ATAAACAATAAAGTATTTAATTTCTTTTGTTCCACAGTTTAACAAAGAACTAATGAATTTGTTTTAAATCCAGTTAATTTATTTTTTCAGATAAATTTGAAGAACTTCCTGCTTCCCATAAACCAGTTAATGGAAGGTGACCCAGTAAAAATCGCCTTTTTGGTTGTATTAATTTATTCATGCTGTTTAATATGATTATCGCCTTTTGGATTTAAGTTCATATAAGATATAAAAGGGTATAAAAATTGTTAACCACATTTACTTTTATTATTATCATTATTAAATTTTTTGTTTTATCTTTGATTAGTTTTTAGAGTTTGTTTGGTTTTTAGCAGAATTTAGCGTTTTGTTCTGCAGCCCAGTTAAACATTTTTATATCTATTTATCTTAACCATCCATCCAATTTAACTGTATTTTAGAGCATGACTAATTCATTTTGTTTTGAGTTTTTAATTCACATTTAAATGAAATGTTTATATTTTGTTGAAATGAACTGGATGCATTGCTGGTTCAGGTCTGTTTCCACCGTCAGCCCGAGGATCTGTGGGTCTCTCCTTACTTTCAGGATGTGTTTTTTGGAAACGTTCGGCTCGCCGTCTGAACTGAAGCTGCAGCGGTTTGTTGAACCTGAACATGAGCAGCTCGCAACATTTAAAATGTCCTCACAGTGAACAGTTGCTGCGATGATCTAATAACTAAATAAACACAAACAGTGAAATGTGATTAACTGTGCAGATAGAGAAGGTGGCAGGTGGCTAAGACGCCATCAGGGGCCAGTTGGTCCCGTTCACACCCCCGCAGATGGCCCCGCGTACGTCAACCTATGCCGCTGCCAGCAGCCCTGCATTTAACAGGACAGCCTGTCAGTGTCACGTCCCCACAGCTCAATCAAAGTGTTTGTGTTTCATCCAGAAGCTGACGGTCCAGCCCAGAGCGTCGCCTCGCTGCCAGATCGCTGCCCTGCAGGCTTCAGCTAAAGACCTAAAATCAGCAGAGATTACAGTAGGGATGGGGGGGGTCCATCTCCTTTGTTCACACACACACTAAAAGAAGCAGAGAATCATATCTTGCTCTACTAAAGTTTTCACATCCCTAAAACTTTTCTGCTTGTGTCTCTGTTGCAGCCTGAACTGGGATTAACTGCTGCAGACCGACCAAAGCCGAGCTGGTAAATAAAACACGTTTTTCATGACTGTTTCCATCGTGACACCATGTAGACCCTCCTCTGCCAGCAGACACTCACTTTGGGTTTGCATTCTTAAACTAAACCATGGATTGACTCTCTTGCTGGAAGTCGGGCTGGTTTTCCTGCTGGGGGATGAATTTCCGCCCCCGTCCCTCTAACAGGGTTTCATTTAGTTCCGTCCTCTGTTTTATCCCTCCAGGATTGAACAGAGCTGTGCAAAGTTGGGATATTGTTTTAGATCCTGACCTTGTGTTAAACTTGTCAGGATCTAAAAGTTGGGCATCTCTTAGTTCTGCTTATTTACCTATTTTTTTAGTATTTAAGTTCCTTCTCTCCTTCAAAGCAGGCTGGGGTTGGTAATCTGTGATACCGGGCATTTCTCCGGTAGGCCGGTCCTAATATCAGCATGCCTTAAATCCAGAGATGGCAAAAGTACTCACTTTCCGTACTTGAGTAAAAGTACAGGTACTTGTGTTAAAAAATACTCTGGTAAAAGTGGAAGTACTGATTAAACTTCTTTACTCAAGTAAAA